GCTGAAAGAAAATGCAACTGCAATTAAACACGCCGCAAAGTCACGAAAATACTTTTTAATTATCCATATTTCTATATAAGAGACAGCATCGCGAGATTCTGTAAAAATATCTAACCAAAATGAACCCGTTAATGGTAAGCTTTTTTGTTGTTATAACCTTTACTCATTTTACTTTATACAACAAACTTTTTACCAAGGTGTTTAGTTCCAAATTGAGCTTTATAGTTTCCTTTATTATTGGTATTAAAGTCCACTCAAATGTCAAAATTACTTAAATAATCAAGTATATAAACAAATAAAATTGAAAAGATTTAAATCTCATTTGTGACAGTGAAAAGGATATTAAATAACTTATCACATTTGTATTTATTAAAAAAGCAAATAATAATTAGGTATATTATGACAGTAAACCCATTATCCCTTGGGTGTAGTAAGTTTGAATAGTTTAGGAGCGTTCCTTTAACGATCAGACTAGGATAACTTGGAGGGTTTTAATTTTAATCTAATTAAGCCTTGATGTTTTTATATTTTAATAAAAAATTATTAACTTATAAAATATTTTACACTTTTGTAGTATAATATAATCTACACTTCTGTAATATTTAACAGATAACTATTTTATTACCCAATACTTAAATAGTTTACAATTACAATAACAAAAATCATTTTCCAAAGGAGAAACCGCCCCCTCCTCCTCCTCCGCCTCCAAATCCAAATCCGAAACCACCTCCTCCTCCTCCTCCTCCTCCTCCAAACGATATTTGACCACTTTTATATCCGCCTTTATAATAATATGGATATTTGTTGGCATAATCCTGGCAGCATACAGTTCCACTTGTATAAGTTGTTTGGGGTTGCTGTTGCTTCACTTCCTCTACCACTACAATTTTCTTTTGTGGAGGTGGAGGTGGTGGTGGAGGCGGCGGAGGTGGTGCTGGTGCTGGTACCGGATATGGTTGTGGGTAGTAAACTGGAACTTTGACAATTCGCACTTCGACCTCTTTCTGTGGTGGTGGCGGCGGTGGAGGTGGTGGTGGTGGTGGCGGGGGAGGAGGAGGAGGTGGAGCTGCTTTTTGCTCAGTTACAGTAACTGGAATGGAGTATGTTTTAACCTCTTGAACTTCCACAGGTTGGGGTTGTACTGGATAAGTTTGAACGGAATGCGATTGAGCAGGATATGATGGACCACAACAGTAACCAGCACCGTAGGCGCCACCAGAACCTCCGCCATATCCACCCCCATAATTTCCGCCATATCCACCACCATAACCACCGCCATATCCACCACCATAACCTCCGCCATATCCACCACCGTAACCACCCGCATATCCACCACTATAAGCACCTCCATATCCTCCAGCAATGCCACCCCATTTTCTAAAAAATAAGTGCCGTTTCTTGCGTACGTTGGAGACTAAACTGCTTTGGATTTTGTTAGTCTGAAATAAATGGTAATTATTTGTAGTAACCAATTAAAACTGTGTACATATAGAAAATTGTTTTTGTTTACGTATATATGTTGAAGAATACTGGGAAATTGATTTCATATTGTTTTAATTTAAAATCTGTTTTAACTTTTGTTTACAACCTTTAGGGGTTTATGCTTTAATAATAAATGATATGTGGTCCTTTTAAAATATTAAATTCGTTCTCTTCGTCCATTCTTTGATACACTTGAAATTTACATAACTTCTAGTTACGTACAAAAAGCGTCATTATTAATAGAAAACTTGTTTAAATAATTAACATTGGTCAGAGGTCAAACAAAACATCCAAAAAACATATTGACTCAAAAAACTGATACGTGTGAACCGATAATTGAATGTAGGTAATTGGTGTTTCTTTTTTACAAAGACTGTGCTTTTTTTATAACAATGCGAAGTTCCAACTCCACGTCAATGAAGATTTCAGAAACTCATTACAAAATGTGTTTTATCTTTCCTATGCAGGTATATAGGAAAACTAAACAGTTATTTACAGTTTAATTAGCTTCTTGTACATGTTATAGTAATTTATACACAAAAAATTGAATAACAGTAATTGGGCGTAAGTTTTCTAAGGGTTTATTACAAATTTTTAAAAAAAATTCTCTAGAACTATAGAAAATATTATGTTAGACAGTGGAATTCGTTTATTATGACTCCGTCTGTATTGACCAGCCGCTTAATAAAAAGTAATTGCAGTGTTAAGTTTGGTTTTCATATTAAATTCTCTATAGGACAGTTTGGATATAATGACTCCGTTTAAAATGACATATCTTTTATTGTGGCTGATTCTCAAGAAATTATATCCGGCTATAATAACCCAAATGATTAATAATAACATTTTCGCTCATTTTTCTGACCCTTCTTATGTATATCGATATTACA